CATATTATGATGATTATCACATATAGATGTCCTACCATGTGCCAGGCAATAGACCAGGCAGTTGACACACTAAAGCCAAGGAACCATCATACTATAATATTCAACAGGTAACTTTGTCTTATTTCACAAAGAAACTGATATAAAAATTCCATATTCATTTCTAGGGTTCTATTGCAAATGAATAAAACCTCAAAATCCATACTATGCTTATTCATTATTTGATTACTGCACATCTTTCTCATACCAACTACATACTGAAATAGATATCAATAGTCAGATGACTGCTATAGACCAAACTGTGAAACACTTCCTGTTGAAATTCAAGAGGCTGTAATGAAGAGTAGAAATCTAAAATCTTGGGTAACCACAAGTGTTCCAATGCAGTTCTCATCTATTGTTACAAAATTACAGAGGGTGGCATCATAGGAGCTGCACCACAGCATGCAGCATCTGTAGAAAAAAACACATTCTCACCATGCAGCATTCTTGGCTCGAAGCACAGGCTTTGTATGGAATCAAGGGAGATTGGGAAACCACAGTATAAGCTAAGATACACTGTTTATGGCATCTATTTCCTGTGTGAGCCCACACCCATTGATTTAATTTCAAATCAGGATCCAATTAATTCTTCAGAGTAAAGCATGAATGAATAATTGAGGAACAATGCAAATCTAAAATTATGACTCATTGAATGAAATAGTCCTCTTTCTTCACTATCAGCCACAATAATAGAAAATAAGTATGAAATCAGGATTTGAAGAAGTAGACAAAACTTTGAATTCTATGATTATATTATAAAATGCAATGACCTAAATGTTTTTCAACCTGAAACCTTTCTCCTTATTAATTCCCAGAGTAGGATAAGAGGCAAATGGCAGGAAAGTCATAAAACTTTACTGATTTTGACTTTACACTCAATTTTAAAAACATTTTCTCTAGTACTAAAATTTCTGTGAAAGCAGCATAACTTATATCTCCTCTTTTTCTTTTTTAAAATTTTTATTATTAAATTTTTCTATTCATTTTACATACCTACCATAGATTCCCCTCCTCCCTCTTTCTCTCCCCAGCCTTCTTCCCAACCCATCCCTCATTCCCACCTCCTCCAAGGCAAGGTCTCCCATGGGGAGTCAGTAGAGCCTGGTGTATTCAGTTGAGGCAGGTCCACACCTCTCCTCCCTGCACCAAGGCTGCACAAGGTGTCACACCATAGACACTGGGCTCCAAAAAGCCTGTTCATGCACTAGAGATGGATCCCGATCACACAGTCTGGGGGCCCCCTAAATAGTTCAAACTAAACAACTGTCTCGCATACCCAGAAGGCCTAGTCCAGTACCATGGGGGCTCCATAGCTATTGGTCTACAATTCAGGGGTTTCCACTAGTTTGGCTGTCTGTCTCTGTATGTTTTCCCATTAAGCTCTCGATATCCCTTGCTTATAGAATTCCTCCTCTCTCTCATTGATTTGACTCCTTTTGCAAAGTACTAGAGGAGCGTAAAGCATACTTGCATTGGTGGATAATTTTTACATCTATCTGGAGGATATTACCAGTAATTTGGAGAGGAGTAGACACAAGAGGTAGCTTCTCTCTTCCAGAGCTCTGTCTCCAGGGTGAGAAGAGAAGCAGATAGGTCAGAATGAGCAGGAAGACCATGACTGGATCCATGGTGACCTTTATGACTGACACAGATGTGATCAAGTAGCACAGAATGTTTTTAATGCAGGTGCATAATTGACCTCTTGTACTTTGGGGCCTCATTGACTAATCAGCTAGGCACTGTTTAACCTCTCTTCCAAGTAGGCTTTGTCCCAATGATAAGATAATTCAAGTTCTTTAACCTTGTCCTTTTTTATAGGGTGTCCTGTAGTGATTTTGGCTTAATTTTACTGAGTTATAACCAAATATTGGTGATAAATATTTAACAAATATTGATGTTTTGAATGTCTTTCTTTGAAAATAGTGAATTTTAAAAAGCATTTCATTTTGAGAGTATAGTGTAAATATATCATTTTCCACTTTTCTCATGCAAAAGCTTCCATATTTATATTTCTTGTTATCTTTCTAGTCCATGTCCTCTTTTGTTTTTAATTGTTATTGTATAAAAACTATATATATGTTTATGGATTTAAACATATGTATTGTTTACATCATATATATGTATACATATTTCTAAATATACAAATATAGCCTGTTAAATCTGTATAACATTGATTATGTTCTCAGGACTGACCATTTCAAATTGGATAACTAATTGTTGTTTTCTTCCTTATGGAAACCTATTTCCCATCTGTCACCATACATTAATTATTATTATTTGCTTGTCATGGGTTGAGGTCTCCTTAGGATTCCACATCCATGTACACCTCTCTATTTTTATTGCCCCTCAGTTTTTGGGTAAGATTTTATGGCTATACCTTCTGACATTCCTAGGAGAAATAATCACACTTTAATTTGGATGAAATAAGCTCAGTAAGTTTCTTTAAAAACAGCATAATTTATCACCTGGAGTAATTGTTGTTCCTTCTCAGCTCATCTTTTTTTTTTCTGTGATGACAATATGTACAGCTTTTTCCTCTACTTGAATGCAGGAAATAAGTCCCATTTGCAGAGGTGACATCCTTAAGAATACTTTTATTAATTCCATGAATCTTATACATTGCATTTAGATTATATTCACCCACAATCCTCATAGATCCACCTCTCATTCCATACTCACCAATATTTTGTCTTCATTTTTTAAACTAATCAATTCCAGTACATACTCTTGGGTATGTGATGTTTCACCTAACAGGGGATGTGCTTTTAAGAAAATCAAGTCTCCTATTCCTGGTAGCTTTCAATTAGTAGTAGCTCTTTAGCTAGGGGTGAGGCATTGTGATCACATTCATCCAACATGTGCTTGCTGGCATTTTGTCTGGCTTGAACCTCCACATGTCTTGTGTTTGCTGTTACAACTGTTTGAGTTCATGTATGCTGTTACCAGCTTTGTCTGGAAAGCGCTTCTTCCTTGTAGTCATTCATGATCTCTGGCTCTTACAACATTCTGGCCCTAGATGTGCAGTAATTCCTGAGTCTTGGAATGCGATGATGTGGAAAAAATTGTCCCATTCAGTACTGAGCACTCTGCAGGCTCTTATGCTCTGCATCTTGAATAGTTGTGCATCTTGGTGTTAATAGTAATTTAATGTGTTGTAAAAGGATAAAGCCAACATGTATCATTCGTATTCAGTTAAGTACTATGTCCTTTTAAAGTAATAGTGGTTGGCTCTCCCCTAGCATCTATAATTTATATAGCTATAGTTTCTCGGCCCTGGTAATAGTTTCAGTTATGGGTTTAGTCTTGTGGGCTGGGCCTAAACTCCACTCAGAAAGCGGTTGGTAACTCCCACTATATTCATGTCACTATAGCACTGGTGCCCTTGTCTTGTCATATTGTTTGTCAAAGGGTTCACAGCTGGACAAGACTGGTGATCACAATTCTCTTCCATTAGGTGTATAGCATCTTCCAGGTCTATGAAATTTAGTCAGTATAGATAAATTTCCCACATCATATACGTGCATAAAAAGAGTTTAAATGAGATGCTCTAAATTGTGGTAACAATGTCCCTAGTGGCTACCAAATAAAAAGCTTCATGCCAGGCAAAAGTAAGGTGCCTGTAAGATCCAATAGACACCTTTTCTCACTCCAATGGTCAGTGAAGGAATGTGAGAATTCTGCCAATTTCTAAGTATATCTATCCCAGTTATACATTCTGGGACTGAGGAAATAATGACTAAATGAGATTGGGACTCATTGGACCTACTTGGAGTCAGACCACAGCCAATTCTCCTCTTCTTCTAATCTTATAATGAGGGCTTTGGTTCGATTTTCTTCAACTTGAGTTATGTGAATGCCAGAGAAAAGATTTTTTTCCAGGGCACACTTAGAAAACTTTTGACTATTTATGCTCGTATGGAGCCAGACAATATTATCACTAAGTTCATTGTTATCCTTCACCATATTCTGAGATGCTAAATATTGGTTAGTTTTTTCACGGAGCTCATCCCTATCCTTTGTCAATTTACCCAGAGACGCTAAGAACAACCAACCAAGCAGTGGTATTTTCCTTATTTTCCCCAAACAGTTAAAAGTTTATTGTATAGCATCACCAAATACATTTCCACTCACTGTTGGTGAATCAGTATAATCAAATGCAGTTAGCTCCTTAAATTTGTAATATAGTTCACATCATGGGCTTTCAATATTCTCCAAACTTCTAGGAAAGGCTTCAGTAACTAGAGAGGCTTCAGTAATTGTAGGTGTTGGAAAATTGGAAAGCCTATTTCAGATACTTAAGAGACTCTCTTTATACTTCTGTTTCTCTAGAACCACTTCTGGTGCCAAAATCTGTATTAGTCAGGGTTCTCTAGAGTAACAGAATTTATAGAATGAACCTCCCTATCATTATAAAAAGGAGATTTATTAGCATTATTGGCTGTAAACAAAAAGTAAAATGATCCAGTAGTTGCTCAGTCCACAAGGCTGGATGTCTCAGCTGGTCTTCAGTATATGCTTGAATCCTGAAGAATTAGGCTCTAATGCCAGTGAAGGAGTAGACTTGCTAGCAGGGTGCGGAGAAGCAGACAAAGAGCATAAGGTTTCTTATGTATGCTTCCAGCATTAGGTGCAGCTCAGATTAAAGATGTGTGTTTTTCAGACTCAAGATCTTGATTAGAAGTGGATCTTCCTACATCAAATTAATAAAAAATACCTCACTTATGTGTCCTCCATTTCTGGGTTTTAGTTAATTCTAGATTTACTCAAGTTGTCAATCAAAAGTAGTCATCGTATTTAACTTTACTGTTAAATTATAGTCATATTACACTCTGAAGAACGAAGGGTTATGTTGAAATGGCAAATACATAGAAAAATAATGTCAGGAATTTGGAAGTTTTGTTTATACAGACCTATGTTTACTGAAGATAAAGAGGTCTCATCCAAAGTCCAAATACTTTACTGCTTTGGAGCTGCATTTACAGACTCTTGGAGTGGAAACTTTCTACTGCATTTATTCAAAGTGGGCCAATGACTCTCTTCATAATCTTGGGGATTTGCCTTTCTTGTTTGAGTCTTCTTTTCCTATGGAATCAGCACCATGGCAAAGGGAAACTCCCACCTGGGCCCACTCCTTTTCCAGTTGTTGGAAATATTTTGCAAATGGATATTAAAAATATCATCAAGTCTCTGAACATGGTAAGTGTGATTAGCTTCTTTTCAGGGGTTTTTGATGAGTGAATGATACATTACTAGTGTTATGATTTGTGACCCCTGTGAAAGACCATAGACTCAATTCAGTTATATTGAAAAAATGTGTTGATTACCAAGTAGCAGGATGATAGCTTTAAAGCTGAATCCCAGGCATGTCATGATGAGGGGTATAAGGAAGGTTTTTTATTTTTTTTTAAGGCAAACCACAAAAAGACCTTTAATATCTGTGCAAGCAAGCAAAAACTGGTCTGTTCTGCCAAATTGAGAGGTTAATGAGACTCAAAAACAATCTCTGAATATCTGTGTAAGAAAGTTACAGAAGCTGGGTGGTGGTGGCACACGCCTTTAATCCCAGCACTTGGGAGGCAGAGGCAGGCGAATCTCTGTGAGTTCGAGGCCAGCCTGGTCTACAGAGAGAGATCCAGGAAAAGCGCAAAGCTCCACAGAGAAACCCTGTATCGAAAAACCAAAAAAAAAAAAAAAAAAAAAAAAAGAAAGAAAGTTACAGAAGCCAAAAAGCAATTAGTCATATCATAACAAGTAGATGGTTATGGCTGTGTATTTCTTGGTGGGGGGTCAGTCAGTCATGGTTACTGGGAGCTTATCTTTTAGGAACTGGAGTCAGGGACAGACAGCTAGTAGGTCCCTAGAATAAAATGGGGTTTCTTTAGTTATTAGAGTCTCCAGTGGCACTAGATCATATGAATTATATCATTGATTCACACTTATATAGGGCTAAAGGTTTATATTTTGATTGTGTTGAATTTTTTATATATGTTCTTAGCCAGTTTGTGATGCAAGAGCCTATGGTAACATTAATAATAACAGGAGAGGATTTTAGTCCATTACATTCCCCACTGGCTCTAGGAAAATGAGTTAGGAAATTTAATTTTAAGGCCTCTGATATATATATAGTGTTTGACATTGACATTTACAAATGATGCATAAAAATAGGATGTGTAAAGTGGAGAGGCAGAGAAAATAAACTTTTGTTTTACCCAGGTAAAATTTGGTGGTCACGAAGTAATCCATTTAATCAGATCCAAGCCCCTTTTTGAGTAATCTTTTTGTACGTTTTTGTTACTCCCCAATTTTAAGAAGTATCTGTAATACTGAAGGATCCTGGAAGCAGCATGAGCTTTGGATTACTAATAGGCACCATAGACAGTCATTTGTCTCTTCTGACAGTGACAGGGAAATTGCTTCTTTGGTAGAAGGGAACTAGTTTCCTATGGACCTAAATTACCAGCTCTTTGTGGAGATGGGCAACAACATACTCTTTTCAGTAATTGCTTCTCAGCTGAAATTAGGACATTATTGTCAGGGCCTAGGAAGATTCAAATGCTGGTTAAAGGCTGGGACAGGTCAGGGTACATCTGACTTGCTGCTCAGGTTCTGTTTGAACACCTGGGGCTAGTGTAGCTTTCGCAAGTCTGGAATGCTGGCCCGATGCTGGGGCTCAAGCAGGCAGGAAATTTCACCAGAAGCATCTGGGTTATATTAGTTTTCAGCAAGTTTAGGACTTGCTGATTCCAAAGAACCCCCTGAAGTTGGTGTATTTGGAGCAGTTTGCAATCTTTAGTAGATTGGAAATCTGCTGAGACAAATACAGACTATGGATATTGACTTTATCTTGGGTGTACATTTGAAACTTCCAGGCCTGTGGTCTTGGTAATTGGGGGCATGAAAGAAGTCCCAAGATCATGGGGAAGACCATGTTTACTGCCACAATGATAATGGACTAAACCTCTGGACGTATAATCCAGCCCCAATGAAATGTTTTTCTTTATAAGAGAGGCTATGATCATGGTGTCTCTTCACAGCAATAAAACCCTAACTAAGACAGAAGTTAGTACCAGGAGTGGAACATTGTTGTTCTGACCATGTTCTTGTTTGGAGGAATTTGGTCTTTGGGACTTGGGGTTAGGAAAGAAGTGGAGTGCTTTAAGTACTGCTTAATGGGCCATATTAGCAGGAGCATGGAAGACAGTGGTACTGAGGGTGATTTGAACTGTGGGGGTCTGGATCAAGAAGTTTCAGAGGATAAGAATGTAAATATGTTGCCTAGTGATGCTGTGATATTTTGATGAAGAATGTGGCCATTTTTTGCCCTTGTCTGAAGAGTCTGTCTGAGGCTAAAGTGAAGAGATTTGTATTAATTGTGTTGGCAGAGGAAATCTTAAAATAGCCTAACATTGACTCGGTCATGTGGTTACTAATGTTCACCCTCATGAAGATTTATAATGAAAAGGATTAAGCTGAGGAAGTAAAAAATATAAAATGTGCAGATTGAGGATCAAAGGGGCACCAGGAAGTGCAAAAGCACTAAGTCCTGTGTTCAAGGAGATAATAGATTAAGAAATGGAACAAAGGAAATGGTGACCTCAGGGCAAGACCCCATGCAGCTAAACTTGTAATTTGTGAAAAGGAATTAAAGAACAGCTTAGGTCCAGGCATGCCAATGCATGCCTTTAATCCCACTACTCAGAAGGCAGAGGCTGGCAGATCTCTAAATCGGAGGCCAGACTGGCCTACCATCAAGTTACAGGACAGCAATCTTGGGCAGTGAAGAAAATTATCAAAATCAGGAAGTTGATGCAGATGCAATTGAACAAGCAGGCCATGTTCCAGCCCCAGCCAGCAGCAAACCTTGGCAGCTTTGGTCATGTGATTCTGGCTTTAGAATTAAGGGTAGAAGAGAGGAGCTATGGAATTTCCCTCCACTACTAAGGAAAGCTGCTGATGCTGGCATATGTCAGGGGTGTCCCTGCACGGAGGCGTGCATTGTGGTGTGAAGGTGAAGCCTGGATTTCCTCAGAGACCCTAAAATTTTGGAGATGCCAGTCATGAGATCCTTCCTGAGAAAAGCTGCTAATGGAGTGGAACCAGCCCAAGAAAAACAAGTGTGTCACACTCAACAAATCCGAAATGAGTTGGAGATCTGAAGAATGCTTTGACATCAGACATGGAAATTCAGTGTTTGGAGTTTGCTCAGCTTGTTTTCAGTCTTGCTTTGGTTCACTATTTCCTCACTATGTCCCCTTCCTTACATTTTGGAAAGGTAATGTCAACCTTTGCCATTATATGTGGGAAGTATGTGATCTGCATTTTGATTTTGATTTTACAGGGGATTATAGTTAAGAGGCTAGAGGAATCTTAAGAAAGATTTTGAATTTTGGGCTTTTAAACAGGGTTAAGACTGTTATTCTCTATGTGGACTTTTGAAGTTGAACCGAATACATTTCTGAATTATGGTATGGCTACAAGCCTATGCAGGCCATGGAGTTGAATGTGGTGGTTTGATTAGGAATGACCCCCATTGACTCATGTGTTTGAATTCTTGGACCAAGTGGCACTATTAGGAAGTATGGCCTTGTTG